CCCCCCCCCCTTCTTTTTTAGATGCTCGGAAATAAACTCTGAGGCGTCTTGGGCGATCAATAATTTCTTTTTCTTGCTTACTTTTTCTTTTTTTCGTTTCTATTACTTTCCAAAAGTGGGGGGGGGGGTCTGTCTACCCCTCCCCCTAAATCCCCCTCCTGTTCTATCACATGCTTACAGTATAGTCCAGGGTGAAAAATTAAAAATAATTATTATGCAATATTTTTCTGCCATAGATAGGCCTACTCGTGCAATAAATCCTCCCCAGTATACCCTGGTATTTAATAGGCACGGTAATTTTCGCCGCACGACGTTAACCTTAACTTTAACGTTAGTACCCAACACGCAGCGCGATAGCTCCGCCCCTTTTGTAAACAAATCGAAATACGCATGCTCAAACCCGTAACTAACGTACGTCGAGCACGTAAAATCTGAAATTAACGTACTTCGCGCAACGCAAGATGAATCAATTATGACGTCATTCGTCAACGTTTTACCGTCGTGCGGCGAAAACTGCCTATTATTAATGCTAAGCGGTAGATTGATTTCAAGTCCCTCTTCAGACTTTAAAAATTGATTCAACAACGTGTGGTCAGTCTCGTATCCAAGTGTAAGTTTATTGATAAAGCTCGCCCATGCACTGATCCATACAACCACACATCCATCACTGTTTCGTGTCGTATTCAATATTCTCACGCAAAAAGTCGTTCCACCTTTGGCAGAGAGAAAAATAATAGTTCTGAAAATAATTTCGTGCAACCGGGTGAACTGCCACGGTGCTGCACGACGGATTTGCATCAATCACGATGTCAGAGACTTTGAAAAATAACTTCTAATGGAAAAAGTGTCTGTAAGCCTTAAAGGTGGTGTGTTAAAAAGAAAGCTCGCATGTCAAACCATTGTCCTGCACTCAATCGGTTTCGGGGTTTTGTTAATAAATAAGGTATAGAAAAGGTGAATAACCTGGTAAATTTAGAAGAAGAATCAGAAGAGACAGAAAAAAATTGTTGACTTACGTTTGAACAGTTGGAAAAAAGCTTGAAGTAAAATGAAATTTATAGGAGATTGAGTGAGATAAAAACATTGTGAGTAGAAACACACTTATCTGATGCTTCAAAATCTCCAGGATGGAGTCACCAAGAATTTTGATTCATCTCCCGGTCTCCAGGAACCTCGACATTTTCTTCAGAGATTTTGACAAATTTTCACAACTAGGACTTAGGCTAAGCTAAATTTTCCCATTCCATATACAGACAATTACAGACATAAGATTCGTCGGACATTCTTGATTCAAACCTGCCCAGCCCCTTTGTTTTTATAGTGAAAATAACATTGTGCACGCGTTTTAGCTATAATAGTGCACGCGTTGCAAACATCTGTCGGAACTGCACTAAGATTCTACAGGTATTGGTTTCCACAGCTTGGGATCCCTGATTTTCAAGCATATTCAGAAGAACGTGTTGACCTCAAAAGAACATGAATGTGTAAAATAATTGAGAAAGTTCAAAATAACAGAGACTTGATATGTTTATAAAAGGAAGTGAGCGCAAATAGGTTTGTTTATACAGGCTCCACAAATGCTCTCTCTTGATGGGTGAGTTGATGTTTCATAACGATAAGAAAAGAGGAAAAATGAGAAAAACAGCAATTAAATCCACGGGGACTCGAACCCAGAACATTTCGCTTACACGGCGAACGACTGAACCACAAACTTTGATTTCAAGTTTCTTGATAAACCATCTAATATTGTTGATGTGTTGTAGGTGGAGAGGGAGAGGGAGGTGTAGTGTGTGCGGAAAAAGAATGGGAAGTGTCAATGGAAGAAGATGAATGTTATTCACATCAAACAGTTTACTCTTTTCTGATCCCCTCTAAGCCTGATCCATAGGTAAGAATTTTAAAGACGTAAAATGACATTTTACGTCAAGATTTTTCTTTATTCAATAATTAAATACTAATGAAAGATCCCTCACTTTACATATTCCTCCAATTAGACCACTTTTCTATAATCTCAAATTAGCAAATGTCTTTTATCTTTATTATGCTAATTCGAGATCAAATCTGTTAAAGGCCATGGGACCCTGGTCCCAAAAATGGTCTTTAATTGGAGGGAAAATTTTAAAAGTGAGACGACAATGCAAATTAGGCCTATATGCTCCTTACAAACGTTGGAGACTTGCAAAAGAAGAACATTAAAGCAGTGGTATAATAATGTATCCGATAGAACACCAACACTTACGACATTGTGACGGAACCGATGGTATGTTTGTATTACCAAGCAATACTTAACATTACGTCGATAATGGTTTAGGTTTTAGTACTATATAATGCAATAACTTTTGAAGAAAACAAAACAATCCTATGAGATATTATCGCCAAACTGTTGACAATAATGAATAGAAAAAAGTAAATTAAGAAACACGATCATCATGTTGTATTTATATTCATCATCATATGCCGATGCTAATATGATTTCTTTTGTAAAAAAAACGGAGCATCGTATCACAGTCTTGTTTCATGCAGTTCACCGCCCATCTGTCAACGTTCAATTATAATAAATAAAAACAACACCCGCGTGTTTTTTATTTTCTCACTTTCTACAGTTCCACAGACGATCTGTTACTTCTTGACACTGCCTGATTAACTTATGGACAAAAGGTCGTGCTTTCTAAACAAATAGATCATGAAGCCCCGTCCGCTAGCCAACTGTTGGACGAGTTAAGTCGCTAGACCCGTAGACTCCAGTTTACGGAATGCATGTTGGGCGGCGGACACCCGATCCACAAAAGACGAGTAATTCACAGCAATCACCGTCCAACAGCAAAAGCAACAAACAACCACTAGCCTAGGTAAATAACGGTTTCTTACCTGATGATTCGTGTGAAGTTTGAAGGATAGCCGCGATTACGGGCTCGGAAATGTTCTCACGGATAGAGGAGTGTGAAGTTTATGGTACCCGCACTAGGCCTGGTCCAATTTATTACAGTAAACAAAAACAACTACGCCTAGGTTTTGAATTTGATTTGCACACCAGACCAGTCTAATGAAAAACGTGTATCATGTACTAACAGAACATTTTTATGAACTGAAAATTTAAATAAAAAACATATTTTTCTTGCAAATCTGTTGCGGCAAAGGATATCTTTCTATATTTTTGCTTACAAATCTTTAATTTTTCAGTCATCAATTAATAATTCTAGTAGTAAAATGTCTAGAAATCTTTGAAAACTGTTACTGTATTTGTAAATTCAGTACATTTCAGACTGTATTTATACCTATTAATTTGTAAGTGAACCTCCTTTAATATAATTGTATGAAAAAAACTCTGTGCGTTTGATACCCGCCTTGGAAGCAAGATGTTGATTCTAATCCCAGTAGAGATATTTTTTCATGCAACCGATAAAAAAGATTTTTTTCGTTGAACAACTATGCTTGATACGATTATAACATCATATTATGAGCACTGTTATTATTATTTATATATTGGATTACATATATATTCAAATCAGAGATCCGAGGAGGCGTCCGTGTACTCCCACCTGGCGCGGTTGACGTGGTTCGACTTCTGTCTCTTATACACATCTAGATGTGTATAAGAGACAGATATTATAGGCTACATAATGTATATTGTGGGTTTTTACCATATGCCAACGATAACACAATACATTTCACTATTCTTCGTTCGTCTGAACATTTCTGAAATGATAAATATTTGGGCGAACATGTCAGATTGTTTCAATTAAATTTTGTATCTCATCAAAGACTAATTGATATGGTCTCTTAGGATTTATATACGCTGCAAGTTAATTTCAAATACATATCACGATCTTTAGATATAAATAGCCACTTTCCTATTTGTTTACTGTACTAGCATCCTCTGCTTATGATAGATTGAAATACGACACCAAGTTTATAAATGACGGCAATTATTCAGCGCGCGGCGCGCCTGCTACGATATAACGCTCATCGTCAACCCTACGGTATCAATTTCACTTTTTTTTTCGTTAAATATATTACCCAGAGTTCATATGTCTCGATTTACGAGATTGAATTTACTGTTTCTTTCATATTAATTTCTTCTTTACTCTTGGGCTAAGTTAATTTCATAGTGAATTACATGTTTGATAGTGGAGTTTGTAAGAGCATGTGCGTAGCCACTAATTCGAGTTATCCAATGATACCAGTCAATACATTTTACCGTATGTTTGTTTAAATATACGGTGAAAAATCTAAAGAAATTTGAGCTTGGGTGTCCTTAAAAAAAGATATGCGGAAATGTAACAAAGTTTTTCTCTGTACAATTCTACACTGTAACAATTCAATAAACATAGTAGGTCTAATATCTTTAGAATTACTAATAAATGTTTTTTAATTTATTTTGAATACGTATAAATTCGATTTTTTTCACATTTTGTGTGTTCTCACACTCTTCGAACTCTACCAACATCCACACAAAACCGTCTCTAGCGAAAGAGTAACCACAACGGTATTATTTTTAATACGCATTTAACCATATTAATAAAATGTGATGAATGAAGCGAAGCGCCACGCTTGATGCGTTGATAATTACTTGTTGACAGGCTGCACATTTGTAAAATATAACGAAATGAGAGGAGATGCTACGAGAGATAAAATTCCAATTTTAATATGGCCGAGCGTTCACTGCGTCGGCGAAGGCGGCCGACGTGTTGGAACCGCGACGAGAATCGTGTTCAACTAGGGTCACTGTCATCGAGCAGGATGGATCAGTCAGTCGATGCAAAGCAGTGTGTGTTCAGCGTACCAGTAGCACTTAATTACGGTACACGTCGTGCAAACGACAAGTCGTAGGCCCACTACGCGTAAAATACATAAAAATCTTTAGACATCCTGTCTTGTTGAAAATGGCTGAAATGAGATCGCGTAACTCTGTTCAATGCATGATAATAAACGAGTATGAAATCAGTTTCACCAATCCGCATCGAATTCCAAAAGGAGCCCCAGTGGCCCAGTTGATTCAAGCATTTGGCACAGACAACCAAAAAGCTACAATAGTAATAGGCCTAATGATATTAATAATGATAATGGCAGTTAAAAACTGTGATGATGATAATAATGACGATGACGAAGTCAATGGTGGTGGCAATGGCGATGGAGTAGACGAGGGTATTATTATTATTATTTAAAACTATTATTAATTACATATTATATATATATATATATATATATATATATATATATATATATCATATATCATACTTTAGTACTGTCGATAACAAACCGGTTAGAAGGTGCAGTGAAAAAAGTTTGAAAGACTGAAGGACTGTCAAAATACAGTCTACGTCACGATGATAGTGTTGATAACAACTTACACAAACGAGATCAATTAATATTTATATAAGAGTTGTCATCAAATTTTATAGTAGGCCTAAGGTTGTATTGCTGAAAATTAAACCCTCATTCTTTCTTTTTAACTTAACACGCGTGGTGTTCAATCACATCCCTGTATGGATTTTGTGAGAGGAAAGAGAGAGTGAGAGAGAGAGAGAGATTTGTTTGCGTAGTGCCCTACAAACTATCCGTCGCCATTACATATCACAAGTAATTAGACATCCGACGAGTGAACAACAGATAATAACGTGGAGTTTGCCATCGAATTAACCCGTACGAAATACGATATACGGACCAATATCCCGTCTATAGTATTCTGCGTACTCTCTTTTATATTTGTCTTGTTTCCTATTCGTCTCGTCCGCGATAACAATCAAACGTTAATATTACAACATTCTCCCATAATCATTGCACACTACCCATGATTACTATTTAATTGATAAGGCGAATCGAAATATTGCTGGCTTTAGTTTCTGATCACGTGACCAGTAACGGCGATTGTTGACGAAATGAAATTAGACCATGGTTGTTGATAGATTGCGGAACAATACAACGTAAAGAAGTCGTTGGTAATTGTTCTGTCCCTGATCTTGTAACTTTATATAGCATTTAGTGTCTTCACGGGCACGCCATACCTAACGAAATCAAATCTTTTGGTCGATATTGAAAGGTTCCCCCGTTATGGCGTATCTGACAAACAATGGGCTATGCATATTGAATCGCGAATCTTATTCTTTCCGCTTCGTGCGCATGGTTTATTATATTTGAATTTGCACTATCACCAATTACAACACTGCTACAAGGTATATATAAGCTGACCATCGAACAATCATAAGATTGATTTTTGAAGGATAGCTTCTCCGAGTGCGTGTTAGTATATTATTTAAAATCGTGGTTCGCTGCATTTCAGCCAATGTAAGAGCAATCAGATGCGCTCTTAATATGATTAATTCACAGACATTGTTAGTTAAATTTCAATTTACAAGTAATTTCATTATTTTTTTTATGTACGAGCCAAGACCTGATAATCTACACCGTGTTGGCGTCAGTATATCGATTAGACCGCAGGAAAAAAATTGTTTGTTTAGATAATGATTGAGATGGTAATGGCTCATTTGAATAGAAACACAGTATCTTATAGCCTAAAAACAAACACAATAGGTCCTAATTCAGAGGACCATAATAACTTTCTGAACATAAACCTACGTCTAATAAGATATTAATAATCAGACATATTTTGGTCTCTTTGGCAAATAGATTACTAATGTTTGACGAAAATAAATTAAATGTAGGCCCAGTTCAAGGTGACCGACTTTCCCACCTCCCTCCCCACCTCTAATTTCACTCTCTGTCTTCTCTCTTCTCACAAGCAGATGTCATAAATAATTCCAAACCCGTTGTAAATGCTTGCAATAAAGTAAACTTATACTAAATGAGCTTTTTAAAATTCAGAAGTTGTTTATTTAAATCAAAATAAACCCCCCCCCACCTAAGAAAAAATATCAATATTAATCAATCATTCAATTAATCGTCAGTACGGTTACAGTAGTGCCAACATCCATCGCACGAATAGTGATCCTCAGTGGTGGTAATTATTATATTATATTATATTATATTATATTATATTATATTATATTATATTATATTATATTATATTATATTATATTATATTATATTATATTATGTTATGTTATGTTATGTTATGTTATGTTATGTTATGTTATGTTATGTTATGTTATGTTGTGTTGTGTTGTGTTGTGTTGTGTTGTGTTGTGTTGTGTTGTGTTGTGTTGTGTTGTGTTGTGTTGTGTTGTGTTGTGTTGTGTTGCATTGTGTTGCATTGTGTTGTATTATATTGTATTATATTACCGTATATTATATTATATTATCTGCTCTGTTGGCTGATACCTTGTCGTAGTAGAGCAGCTTGTGTTCCTCAGTGATCCGATGAGCTAAACCGGTGGTAGCATAGCTAAAGGTAGGGTCTCCCATGCCGGGCTGGTCGGAGGGAAGAGGGCAGACAAAAAGTAGCACCTGGCTCTCCTAGGTTTAAATAGGGGGTTGGAATATCGGTTAATCACCTGTATCCGTAAAAAAAGAATTTATTACAAAAGCTATGGCCTTATGTGCCTCATGGCACGAAGAGGATTATATTATATTATATTATATTATGTGTTATATGTGATCGTATTATGTTACGTTACGCTACGCTACGCTACGTTATGTTACGTTACATTACATTATATTATGGATATTATATTATATTATATCTCATTTAGGTAAAAAAGGGAAAATACGAAACCATGAGGTATTTCTAATTAACAGATCTTTACTACAAAAATGTTTGAATTGATGTCAAGCTAATTAAAGAGTCAAATGCAAAGAATATAGAAACTGTATTATTGAAGCGTCTGTTAATTTATGCATATACATAATTTTATACAAATACTGGAAAATGTGAGAAAAGATGGCTGGATCTCGGTTGAAATGAAAAATAATTTGATAAGCAAGATTTTAGCACGGTAAAAATTACTGTATCTGCAATGTTAGGCTCTATTTTAAAGTTACATTCACATTGGATCCGAGCCGAAATTCGGACCGCATTGTCCGAAGCGCTGAACGCCAGCTCCCTATTCAATCTTAAGACCTGTCCAGACTTTCAACATTTATTTGACAAAAACATGTGGCATGACCAAATATGGCCATGATGACATCACGTCATAACCATATGTAAGCACATCATTATATAGGGGTATACAACAGTTTTTTTTTTTTTGTTTTTTTTTGTCAAAGTAAATTTGATACAGTACTGCGCTTTGCACACTGATTCGATGTTCGGATCGCTTCGGCGCCCTCCGATCACAAATTTCGGATTCGGTGTGAATACACCGGTATACTCTCACTTTGGTTTGGA